ATATATTTTCCATATAGATGTTATGATATTATTTTTAGGATAATAATATATCTTAGTGATATTTTAAGATAGATTTATAAAAGTTTATATGATAGAGTTTATATTGTGTAGGTTATGCTATAAATATTAGGCAATATCATCAATACAATTCAGGCTACTCCCTCGTAAATAATTTAGCATGGTATGAAGAGTAGGTTAGATCTTGGGGTTGTTTATAAAAATTTTCCCCCTGCCGATGGGTTAGTAATTAAACCCACCGGTGGGATATGATGAACCTTAGCAAAAATTACAAATTTATTTCCTAATTATTTCAGCTGCGTGAAGAGTTTAAGTTTAATGATTTGATGTTTTTATATCATGAGTAGCTTGATTAGTGGATCATGCGTAGGTATTTGATCCTCATATATAAAGATAGGTGCCAATGTGGTATCAATCTAGGTTTTTTTAAAAAAAAAAAATTTGGAAATTTTGAATTTTGGTACATCGAATATGACCCTAATTGAATTTTCGTTGAAATTTTACTGTGGAGGCGGATGCACCAAGCATGGTGCATCCGGTTTTCTTTAAAAAAGGCGGAATGAACATTTAGTTGTTCAATAAAGAACACATAGTTGTTTTATAAAAAACATATAGCTATTTTATAAAGAACATCTAGTTTTATATGTTTTTTTTTTTTTGTAAATCTAAAGTACATTTGTAATATTAGTAAAGAACATGATAATATCAAAGAACATTATTCATATAGTAAATGTACATTTGGTATAAATGACCATGTATGCATATAATAAAGTACATTTTATTGGATTTTTTTAACTTTAAAGCTAAAATCTTTTCTCTCTCCTCCTTTCTCTCTCCAAAAACCCTAGCCTCCCATGTTGATTTTTGAAGGGGCTTCCATCGATTTTAATCGGTGGAAAGCCCCAATCCTTGTTTCTTTATTGTTTTTTAGGTTTTTAATAATGCTTCCTCCTTTTCGGAGGAACTTTTCTCCCTCGAAAAAAGGGTTTCCGATCTCCTTCGAAAGACAAGGGTTTTTCGACCTCCTTCGAAAGACAAGGTTTATCTCCTCTTTTCGAGGGAGAAATTTCTTACTTTTGATTTCATGGTAGCATATGTAATGGATTGTCGTGAAATTATTTCGTTGGTGAAAAAGTTATCAAGTTTTCGAATACGGACAGATGAATCAGAAGGAAAACATGCTCACGGCTGCAAAGGATCGTTAGATTGTCTCTCCAACAAGGCTGTAATTTTCAGCGATATAAGCGGGAGATGCTCCGCAGTGCAAGATTTACTCTACGATCGTAGTTTTTATGAAGGGAAATTCTATTTGATTCAATATCTTATGTATTTGTTAACGTCGAATCTCTATTGTAGATGTCGTATGACTTTTAATTAATGAAATATTTTTACTATTAAAAAAAAAGTACATTTTATTGTATTATAATGTACATTGTATTATATTCTAATGAACATATATGTTATAATGTTGGTTACATGTTTAATGTACACTGTATTATTTGCATCATGTAAGAATATGAAAAAAAGAACATTTTACTGTATTTTAATGTACATTGTATTATTTGAATCTACAACTTTTTCTAAAATTGTCTATTTGCTTGCTTTCTTCTACAAAAATGGAATAATCGGACGATCTTCTTCAATAACTTTATTTTATTTCTCATTGTAACAACAAAATAACATCAAAATCGCAATTAATTCCCAATAAAATCAAATATTACAATTTTCAATCAAATTTATAAAAAACAAACACTCAAACTTAAAATAAACAAGTATGAATGTCAAATAAACAAGTATGAATGTCGAATTTGGTCTTACCTTTCGTTTTTATTTGTCATCTTGAACAATTTTGGACTCAAAATTTCGAATTTCTTGAAATTTTGCTTGAGTAGGTTTGAGGAATTTAAATGGGTTTGAAGTTTTGTTTGGAGAGAGAAAGTGAACTTTTGGTAAAAAAAAAAATTGAAATGATTGTAATTAATGTATGGTAAGAAAAATAATTACAGTACTATTTATCTATTTCATTATACAAAAATAATAATTATATTATTATAAATAAATAATATACAAAATTGTTGCACAAAAATCTGATGTACATTATAAATGAACGCTATGTTCTTTTATGTATATGTCCATGTACATTATAAATGAACACTATGTTCTTTTATATGTCCATGTACATTAGTATATACCTACATGTTCATTTCGCCTTTTTGTACTTTGGAGCGGATGCACCATGTGGATCTTGCATCCGCCTCCACGAACCAAGCTTTAAATTTTCGTACCCGTTTAAAATTTATTTTTATTTTGTACCCATCAAAGTTACAAAATATAGGTTTTAGTACCTCCGTCCAACTTCCGTTAAACTTTCCGGTAGTGGGACCCATTATCTAATTATTATTATTATTATTATTTTTTGATAAGACATTATTAAAAAAAGAAAATTTTTAAAAAAACATAAAAAAAAAAAAAATAAACAGCAACAACCACCTACCCCCCTCCCTGTTAGCCACCCTCCCCCCTCCCCGTGCCGGCTGTCGGTGCCCAAATATTTCCCCAGCGCCGACAAGCCCACCTCTTTCTTTTCCCTCCTTCGACCTCAGCCGCAACAGTCCACCTCCTCCCTTTCCCTCCTCCGATCACAGCCACAACAACCCTCCAAAACAACCACACCACTTACCGAAACAACCACACCACTCACCGAAACAACCCCCCTCTCTGAAACAACCACATCGCTCGCCGAAACAACCCCCCTCCCTGAAATACCAACCTCCACTTTTTGCGGCCCTCAAAACCCTAAAACCCAACTGAAACAATCCGTTTAGGGTTTTAAACAACCCAGAAAACTGTTGTGTGCTGGGTTGTTTCAGGTGGGTTTAGGGTTTCAGGTGGGTTTAGGGTTTCGTGATTTTCTGGGTTGTTTCAGGTGGGTTTAGGGTTTCGTGATTTTCTGGGTTGTTTCAGGTGGGTTTAGGGTTTCGGGGGCCAACTGGTGTGTGCTGCAGTGGGGGAGATGGTCGGTGATAATGGTTATTTTGCGAGGGATGGCTGGTGCGTGTTGCAGGGGTAGTTTTCGTGGTGGTGGTGTGATGGAGCGACGCCGTTGTGAATTGTGTGTGTATGGGGGTAGTTTTGGTGGTGGTGGTGTGCTGTGAATTGTGTGTGCAAGGGGTAGCTGGAAGGTGGCTAAGGGGTGGCTGGACCCTCTAATTACGGAAAACATAACAGAACAGGGATGGAGGTACCAAAACCTACATTTTGTGACTTTGATGGGTACCAAAATAAAAATAAATTTTAAACGGGTACGAAAAATCAATTAGGGTCATTTTCAAGGTACTAATATTCAAAATTTCCTTTTTATTTTCTTTAAAAAAATCAAATCATGGACACCACCAAAGGGTCGTGGAAAAGAAGACTACAGATCGGGCACCAACAAAGGCCCATGGAGAGAAGACTACAGACACCAGCAAAGGGTCGCGGCAGAGAAGACTACGTACACCAGCAAAGGGCCGCGACATAGAAGATCACGGACACCAGCAAAGGGCCGTGGCAAAATATCACGAACACCAGCAAAGGGCCGTAGCAGAAGATCAAGGACACCAGCAAAGGGCCATGACTACAAAATTTGTTTTTTAAAAAAATAAATAAATTGAAGGCGACATCAATAGAGTATTGCAACTCAATCGACTTCAACATATTGAAGAATTTCCAATCGCAAAGTTAGTGTTACTGCTGTTACGATTGAGGGAGGGTGTTAGGAATATAGGAAAATATATTATTGTGATATATTTTCCATGCATATAGATCTTATGATATTATATTTAGGATAATAATATATCTTGGTGATATTCTAAGATAGATTAATGGAAGTTTATATGATAGAGTTTATATTGTGTAGGTTATCTTTTGTAAGCTATAAATATTAGGCAATATCATTAATACAATTCAGGCTATTCACTCATAAATAATATGGTATTGTAAATATTTGTGAAACTTCCTTAAATTTTAATTGTTGTAAGATTAAAGGAACAAGGATATAAAGGACATCTTTGTAACCTTTTTTTTTTTTTTTTGGTAACCTAACAAGTAACTAATACACTCTATGTGGTACACTGGTACTACTCCTTTTAAACTAACTGAACTATGACATTTGAACTATTGGTTTCCCAAAAATTTTAAAAAAGAGAAAATTTTGGAAAAGGACTTTTTAAGTGGTCGACTTTTTGAAAAAGAACCTTTTAAGTGAAAATTTGTGAAAAAGGACTTTTTAAGTTGTATTTTGTCTGAATGGGGTACTTGGGTGAGCTTGCATGGTCAACACCGGAGCTTCGGGGTTGACTATCACGTATTAGTCACGTGTTTTTTTTTTTTAATTTTTTTTTAATTTTTTTTTTTAAAAATCAAAATATTTCCCCAAACTTCCATCATTTCTTGACCGAACCCTTTCATACAATATTCTCATAGAGGTAGGGGAAGGGGCCGGGGGGAGTTTTTTTTTGTTTTGAAAATAAGTCATGTGACTAATGTGATAGCGAACACCGCCGAAGCTCCAAGATTGACCACCTCGCAAGTTCACACAAGTACCCCATATAAACAAAATATAATTTAAAAAGTCCTTTTTTCACAAGTTTTCACTTAAAAGGTCCTTTTTTAAAAAGTCGATCATTTAAAAGGTCTTTTTCTCACAATTTTCTCTTTTAAAAAAAAAATAAATATAAAGATTTGAACTATTTATATTTTTTAAAAAAATTTGAACTATTTATATAAGGATTGTTAATTTTAACATATTCTTTTTATTAATGAATTAAAAATTCATCATGTAATTAGTTTGGCCGTGGCCAAAAAAGTCTCAAAATCATTAAATCATTTATGAAATTGATAACTACCTCTCTAAAGGAAAATAATACTCTTTGTGATTTTTTTAAGGACGAAAGTAGTAATACGTACGTGAGATTGTTTTGTATATATATTCTAGTTCTTGGTTAGTCTTTCTAAACTATAACAAGGCCTGTTTTTGTTATTTCTGTTAAGAGAAATTGAGCTAAGTCATCATTAGAATATCAAGTAAGAATACAAGCAAAAATGACGAGCAACGGGGAAAAATTCCCACCACAAACACAGGATTCTCAACCAGGAAAGCAATATTTGATGAATCCACTCCCGAAATCTGTCAATCCTCACTATATACCTTCCAAAAAGCTTCATGTAAGACGTACATGCATTAAATTTCATATATTGTTTGAGCTTCTTTGATTTTCCTAATTCTGTATAAATGTATAATTTTTTGCTACTATATGAATATTTACAATATGCATGAATGGTGTTTATAAAATAATAAATAGTTATGCCAATTATTACAAGGGTCCACAAATTTTTGTTTTTATCACTTACCAAAATTTTTTTTTTTAAAAAAATTATGTATGTGGATCAAGGATGTTATTGTTGGATAACCTTGGATATATACTTCTCATCCCAATAGTTTAATCTTTAGTTTTAGAAAATTTTGACAATTACCACATTCTGTTTAGTCCATTTTAGCAATTATCACCTTCTATTTTTTTTTAAAAATTACCACTTTCTATTTTCAAAAACATTAAAAATTATCATCTTTTTGCCTCCCAACTACCTCATGACGTCATTTTGGGCTCATTTTTTCCCTTTCCTCCCTATTTCCCTCACATTTCTCATTCCTAACTCAATTCTCATCCCCCCTTTCATTTTTTTCCCCTAATTAATAAAAAACACTTCAATTCACTCCTCCAAATCAAAATTGACGAACAATTATTGGTGGTTTGGGGGAAAAAAAGTGAAAGGGGAGATGATAATCCAAATGGAAAAGAGAAATGTGAGGGAAATAGGGAGGGAAGGGAAAGAATGGACCCAAAATGACGTCATGTGGTAGTTGGGGGGCAAAAAGGTGGTAACTAATAAAGTATAAAACATATTCCTGGGCCTCAACCAAAAGCTTAAGCTGATGGTTGAGGTTGAGGTTGTCCACTAACATGGCGGTATCGGAGCTAGCGTGACACAAAGGTCACGAGTTCGAATCGCATCCACCCCTCACTTTCAAGTGGAGTATTAAGCGCTGGGTATGAGGAGGGCTCATGTTGTATCCACACTTCTAGCCCAAACGGGCTCTCGTGTGAGGGGGGCGTGATAGAGTATAAAACATATTCCTGGGTCTCGACCATCAGCTTAAGCTTTTGGTTGAGTTGGTCCTCTAATAGTAACTTTTGATGTTTTTGAAAGTAGAAGGTGGTAATTTTCAAAAAAAAAAAATAGAAGATGGTAATTACTAAGATGGACATAACAGAAGGTGGTAATTGTCAAAATTTCCTTAGGTTTTATCATAAACTTTTTTTTTTTTTTTGAACGGGTAGTTTTATCATAAACTTGCTAACAATCGTCGACTATTATGTATATATAGGGAAAGGTGGCATTGGTAACAGGAGGTGATTCAGGGATAGGAAGGGCAGTTTGTTACTATTTTGCACTCGAGGGTGCAACTGTTGCTTTCACTTACGTTAAAGGGCCGGAGGATAAAGATACCGGTGACGCCTTGGCCTTGATAAGAGAAGCGGCCAAAGAAAATGATGCAGGTGAGCCTATTGCCATTCCAGCTGATCTTCGCCGAGGTGAAGAGGAATGCACGAAGGTGGTTGATAAGGTGGTTAGCCACTTTGGACGCATTGATGTCTTAGTGAATAACGCAGGAGTACAATACTTTGCTGAGAGAATCGAAGAAATCACAGAGGAACAACTAAGGACTACATTTGAAATCAACTTCTTCGCTAGTTTCTTCTTGGCAAAGTAAGTATTCATTCCATGAGCTATTACAAGAATGAACTAGATTAAGCAAAAGTTTTTTATCGAAATAATAACCATTTTTTTTATTGATTAATTAAATAATTTTTAAACGAAATAAATCAAAATGTTGGTCTTTTGCAAAAGTTATAAGGATATTTATATGTATAATAAATGGTTATAATACAAGGAAAAAAAAAAAAAAAATGTACTCCCTCCGTAACATTTTATTAGACAAAAGATGGTAAGTGTAATTAACAAAAAATAAGGGCATGTGTTTAATATTAATCCAACCCAAATTAAAAAAAAAAAAACATCAATTACAACCACCTATCACCAGCACCACCACCGCCTTGCACCATACCACTACCACCTAGCACCATGACGCCACCACCACCTAGCACCACCCCCGATTTCGCCCACCTACAACCCCGAAACCCACAATGTAACCCACGAACCCAGAACCACCATCCACAACCCCAAAACCACCACCTACAACCCCGAAAAATCGAACCACCAACCCACGAACCTAGAAAATTCAAACCACCAACCAAATCAACCCACGAACCCAGAAAATTCGAACCACCTACCCACGAACTCAGAAAATTCGAACCACCAGCCCACTAACCCAGAAAATTCGAACCACCAACCAAACAACCAAAGAACCCAGAACCACCACCCACAACCCCGAAACCCACAACCCACAACCCACGAACCCAAATCCACCACCCACAAGTCCACAACCCTAAAACCCACAACCCACAACCCACGAACCCCCAATCCCAAAATCCCCAACCCACGAACTCGAACCCAAACCCATAACCCCAAAATCCGAAACCCACAACTCTCTATCATCAATTAAAGCTTTAATTGGTCAAATTTAACCATCAAAACTCCAGATCTAGAGTTTTCATGGTTAAATTTAACCATAAAACCTTCAAATATGTGTTTCACCGCAATGACAAAACAACAAGAAGAGGAAGAGAGAAAAAACGGAGGCGGCCGCAACAAAAGGGACATCGGCAGCAACTTCTGGCGATGGTGGTGTATTGAGGTGAATTTTTGGGTGATGAACAAAGAATGGAGATTGGTGGTGGACTAGTGGTGGTTCCCAATCAAGATGAGAAAGAACTTTTTTTTTTTTTTTTAACAAAAGATGAGAATGAATTTAGATGGGAGAGTAATGATTTTGGGGAAATAATTAAGTTAGTTAATGTTAGGGTTTAAATTATTAAGTTAAAATCAGTAGTTTAATTAGGGTGTTTAGGAAAAAAAGTAAGGGTAATATTGTAAAATCACACAAAAAAATTTACCATAAAAGGAAAAAAATAAGTTTGTTGCAAGTAATGTGCACCGGCTATTTTTAGTAATTGTTGCGAGTAAAAAGAAACGGGGCAGTATTAAAAACAATTTATTTTTATCTAATCTATGTTAGCACACGTGTTTCAACATCTCAATAATCTAGTTAATTATACATTAATTAATAATGATGGAAGAATGTAAGCATGTATGATACACACAAATTTAATAGGGAGTTGGTGTATTCTTTAGTACCACTAGGTCCACTACCAACAAGTTCTTGGTTACACACTTACACCACGTTTTATTATTCTTATTTATATAAGAAGTAAAACTTAAATCAGATTCAATTTAAACCGGACTACTCCGTACTAATTTTGATGTTGTTCTTTTTTAAAATTGGATTTGATCGAATTAAATTTTTTCAAAAATTAGACTTTTATATCATATTGAATTTAACAGGTTTGAATTAACTACACGAAGACAACCAAACATTTCTTAGGTAGTAATTTTATTTTATAAATTCACTTTCACTCTCTTAAATTTACTTTTAACAAAAATAATTGTTGAATTGTTGGTGTGAAACTATTGTTTATTTAATCCTTGAACTATTAGTTTCTAATTTAATAATCCCTCTATTTTTTATGTACCTATAGTGACATGACACGTATGTCGATACACAACTTTGACTAATAATATCTTTAATTATCATTAACTAAAATTTAGACCAATTTATTGAATATTAATTACTCCCTCCGTCCCTAAAAGAATGACCCTTTTTGTTTCGGGGTTTTCTGATGTCCTGCGGGAGAGTTACAATTCCGAGACTGGAACCGGACGCCTGTACCTGCAAAATAACGGAGACTCCTTAGAGCTCCGCCTCCAACGGTCAAGTTAGTACCTGATTAAGGAGTAATTAATACGGAAATTAAAGTAATAAGACCTCTCTAGGTGAGAGTGTTTAATGTTGGTAATCTGCTTTGTTAGCGAGATTAGCCGGTTATTAGTGTTCCGTAATGTTTCTGTTCTTCAGGTGAGATTAATTGCTTCTCAATTGCTTGATGTTCTCTTGATTTCTTGATTGCTTAATTAATGAGGATTAATTAAGTATTTATAGTCTTGAGAAGCGTGCCACTCTCTAGGTTTAGGGTAAACCTAGGGCTGACCGGGCCTCTAGACAGGATTGGGCCTTGTTGGCCGGTTTTCCCATTTGGCATGGGTGGACACGTGGCGTGCCTCGATTGGTCCGTAGAGGACGTATCTGTGATTGACACGTGGCAGGCTCCTATTGGCCTTCGTGAAGGACACGTGGCGGAACCTGGTTGGTCCACTTGTCAGACGGTGATTGGTGGATAAAAATCCCCTAATCATTTGCCCCTCACAGGTGGCACGTGACTGGTCACGTGTCGCCTGTGACAGGTGTCGCACGGTGACAGGCGACGGCCTGCTACAGGTGTCACCTTGCAAACGGCCGAGAGATTTTCCCGCCCAAATTTTGAATTTGGAAGCGACCCTTCGCCTTCTCACTTTGCCTATATAAGGAAGTGCTGACTTCGGTCATTTTCACATTTGAGAACTTTGCGAGAACATTCGGACCCCTGAACTTGCTCTGACATTTCGGGCCTTTTCTGCCTACCGCCTGTTCTGACAAGCCGACTGCACCGGATTTCCAGAACTTCATCAACCGTCACTCGTTCAGGTAACTCAGTTCTCTTACTCTTAATTTTCTTTTTATTTTTTGAAATGGCACCACGGAAGCACACGACACGACCTAAGTTAGTGATCAGCCGGTCACCGGGGACGGCTGAATCTAGGACTAGGAGTGCCGCCTGCCCTTTTCTGGACCCATCTTTGCCCTTTATACAAAGTCCGACTGTATCTGTGTCTATGCAGAACGTGATGGCCAGAACAAAAAAGACTGCTATGATATCAAACTCAGACGGCTCCTCCCAAAGGGTGCTCATTAGTGAAACATCTGACCAGGCGCCAGATGTAGAATTGAAACGAGGCGGCTGCCAAGCCGACAGTTCTGAGAGAGGGGCCAAGGTGGTCCCTTCCCATCTTACCGTTGATATGTCTAATTTTCCTCCTGCTCCTTCTAAGGGAGAGGAGGCGGGCCCCTCTGGGAGAGGGGAGGAGTCGTCCTCTTCGGACTCGTCAGAGGACGAGTCCGAGTCCAGCTCTTCTGGCCACAGTTCTCCAGGCTCAGAAGAAAGACATAGCCGCCTACAAGAGGCGAGACTTTCTCATGCAGTTGAGAAGGGGGACAATTGGGCGGAGCCGTCCGCCTCTTACAGAGAGGAAAACGCCCCCTACTACTGCATGGTACCCCGGGGCCGGATCGCAACCATGCAAGACAAAGTGGAGAGCTTTATTGCTAACCACAGAATGGGCCCGGAATTTTTACTGTTCGTGCCGGATCCAGAAGACACTGTCGTCTGGCCGGCTAGTACCAGCTATGATGACGGCTGCTTTGGCTGCTATGTGGCGGCCATCAAAGCTGGACTGCGCTTCCCATTACATCCGGCTGTTCAGCGGATTTTAGATGGGTATGATTTGGGGTTATGGCAGTTAGCCCCCAACTCTTGGGTAAACGTACTCGGCTATGTGGCCGGGTGCGAAATGTACGGGGTGGAGCCAAGCTTTGAGGCTTTCGCCCACATGAACTATCTCAGCCGGACCCCTAAGTCGGGAGGTACCGGCTGGTATCAATTAACAAGCCATAGGGGTTACCTCATGACGAGAGGTAAGGCGAACAAATGGAAGGATTGGCGGAACACCTTCCTTATCATTGAGGGTTCAGACACGGAGCCGAACCAACGTTTTAACAAGTGGAATAGGGATCCGCCTCTTCTCGCAGGCGGCCGCAGCATGCCGCCTGTTCCCCCAAAGGCTAAAAGAGAGATCCTAGACAAAGGACTCTTCAAAGTAGAGACTAGGGTGAACTCTACTTCAGGGGTACGAGAGCAAGTACCCCTACACTGCGTCCCGAGCTTCAAGTGGCTCTATGACGAGTACTTTTTGGCCGCCTGTGGCCTCAGCAGTCGGTGCTCTAGAGGTAGCCGGCCTGACAAATACTCTGTTTTTTTTTCACGCCTTGTTTTCTTGGGATCTTTACTAACTTTGCTGTTTATTTTTTGCAGCTGACGCCATGAGTAAAATAACAGCATCCAAGACTGCGGCGGCCATGTTGCGGGCCTCTCTCATGCAACAGTCTTGTGCCGACTCCCCCAACAAGGGGGCACCCTTGGTAGGCTTCGAAAACTCTTCCTTTTTTAGGAGTTGTCTTATGCATATACTAACTCTTTTTGTTTTCAGTCTGGCACTCCAAGAGCTTCTTCCTCGCAACAGCCGGACCCCAAGGCCCGGAGGACGACTGTTGCAAGCTCTCCTGGGTCTTCCAGGAAAATAGTGGCGGCTGAGAAGCAGCCGACCACTTCTTCTAAAACCCCGGCGGGGCCGCCTAGAAGTATGGACAATCACTTGTAAAAACTTTCACACTTGCTTCCTTCTTGACTAGGTCTAACTTGCTTTTTTTTTACGCTTGATGCAGCCGGCCCTCAGGGGCTTGACTTGGTTGAGGTAGCCAAGTCCATGATCAAAGCAGTTCCTCCATCTGAAAGGGAGGCGGTCAGGGGTGCCGGCACCCTTGACCTTGATGGGATTGCAGGGGTCCTTGCTGAGGTATACTTAGCATATTTTTGAGT